TGGATGGATAGATGAATGGATGGGTGGGTGGATAGAGAAGTGGATGGATGGATGGATGGATGGATGGGTACGTGGTAGATAAGTGGATAGATGGATGGATGGATGGGCAGGTGGGTGGATGGATAGATAGATGAATGGATGGGTGGGTGGAAAGATAAGTGGGTGGATGGATGGATGGATGGATGGATGGATGGATGGATGGATGGGTGGATGGATAGATGGATAGATGAATGGATGGGTGGGTGGATAGATAAGTGGATGGATGGATGGATGGATGGATGGGTATGTGGTAGATAAGTGGATGGATGGATGGATAGATGAATGGATGGGTGGGTGGATAGATAAGTGGATGGACGGATGGATGGATGGATGGGTGGGTGGATGGATAGATGAATGGATGGGTGGGTGGATAGATAAGTGGATGGATGGATGGATGGATGGATGGATGGATGGATGGATGGATATGTGGTAGATAAGTGGATGGATGGATGGATGGATGGGTGGGTGGGTGGATGAGTACATGGTAGATAAGTGGATGGATGGATGGGCAGGTGGGTGGATGGATAGATGGATGAATGGATGGATGGATTGATGGATTGATGAATGGATGGTACTGTCCATATAAACACTATCCTCATTATCTTTATGGACTAATTAAAGTGCCTCCTCCTTCAGGAAGTCTTCCCATATTTCTCAGTTGGAGGGCCTCTTTCCTCCTCTGCGATCTCATGGCCCAGGGTCTGTCCCTCCTTGAGGGGGTCCTGGCTTCTCTTCCCTGGAGGATTTTAGTATCTGTGCTTTCTCTATCCTTCTGGACCATGATCCATTTAGAAACAGAAGCCCTGTCCCGCTTATTATTTTGCACACAACAGAGCTGGGTGCAGAGCAGGTGCTCGGGGAATACTTGGTGAAAAACAAACAAAACCCTAGAATCTCGCAGTCTGAGCTGTCTCAGCCCCTGAGATCTCTAGAGAGTTAGGACACTTGGAATTCAGAATCCTGGGGAGAAATCCTGAATCTGCAGACCTTCTAGAGTCCAGAACCTTGTGAAATTCTGAGACTGTGGACTCAGCACCTGGCCGGGGGCCTGGCACCCAGGAGATGCCAATAAATATTAATGGAGTGGATAAGGGGACAGGGGACAGGGGGATGTATGTATGTGTGGATGTGTGGATGGGTGGAACACCAGAAAGCCAGTCAGCTTAACTCACTCCTAGAGCTCCCGCCTCCATAGACTGGGGGGCTGCTCCGGGTGTCCCATCCTGTCAAGTTTCCCTTTCGCCCTTTCTTGGGGAATAACAGATCCCCAGAAGCCAGACCATGTATGGGGAGGGCCTCCTTGAGAATGCAACATTTGTTCGAAGACCCAGAGCAGGAGATGGGAGAAACTATGTGACGATCTAGGGGAAGAGTGTCCAGGCAGAGAAAACAGCCAGTGCAAAGGTCCTGAGGCAGAGCGGGTGTGATGGAGGTGCCCAGCTTTGCCACCTCACCTCTTTCTCTTTCTCCACCTCTGGTCCCCAGCATTACAGGAAGTTCTGGGCAGGCCTCCGGGGTCTCACCCTCTATTTCTACAACAGCAATCGGGACTCCCAGGTAAGGATGGGAATGAGGGCTCAAGAGCTGGGCCACCCTTGGCCTCAGGGACCAAGCAGAGGGTGTGGGGGCCCGAGGGGCCACAGGCCTGGTGCTCAGATCCCCGCTTCTGTGCCCCCAGCACGTGGAGAAGCTAGACCTGGGAGCCTTCGTGAAGATCACAGATGAGGCTCCCCAGGGGAGCGCCCGAGATCCCGGCACCCACTTTAGCTTGGTCCTCCGCAACCAGGAGATCAAGTTCAAGGTAGAAACCTTGGTGGGGCTGGTGGGAGACCCTCCTTCCCTGCCATGCCCACTATTAACACACACTAGCACAGAGTCAGAATCTACCACTGGGCTGGTGACACTGGGCAAGTCACTTAACCTCTCTGGGCCTCAGTTTCCTCAACTGCAAAATGGGACAATATGTCTGAAGTGCCCAGGACAAGATCTAATCCACAGGGATCATCATTGCTATCATTCAGTCTTTCAGCTAACATTATTGAGCACCTACTGTGTGACAGACACTCTTCTAGTTGCACAGCAGTGAACAAGACAATTAAAAATCCATGCCCTTGTAGAGTTTACAGTCTAGTGGTGGAGGCACACAATAAACAATATAAATATGTAAAATCTAGGGAGTGTCAGATGGTGGTAGATGCCGGAGAGACAAGCACTAGGGAAAGGATAAAGGGGGGTCAGGGTTGCAATGTTAAATGATGTGATCAGGAAAGGCTTTACTGAGGACCTGAAGGAGGTGAGGGAGCCAGCAGTGTAGATATATCTGTGAAACAGCTCTTCAGCAGAGGGCACAGCACATGCAAATGTCCTGGGGCAGGATTGTGCCTGGCGTGTTGGAGGAACAGCAAGGAAGCCTGTGAGGCTGGAGCAGAGTGAGTGAGGGGGAGAGAGGAGGAGGGTAGGGTAGGGAGGGGACGGGGGCAGATCCTGCAGGGCCTTGTGGTCCACAGAGAAGACTTGGGCTTCTATCCTGAGGGAGGTGGGAGCCCTGGGAGGGTTTAGAGCATAGGAGATACAAGATCTGATTTATGTTTTTTAAAATGATGTAATAACATTCAAGAATAATAATATCTCATATTACTAAAGACTTATATTCAGACATCACCCTAAATGAACCTGTCCTAATTCATTTAATCTTTAAAACAGCCCTTGGAAATAGGGACTATTATTCCTCACTCCCATTTCACAGATGAATAGACTGAGGCTCCTCGACATAGACTGTTTTCTTCTATCCCTCCCTAGGTGGAGAGCCTGGAGTCCAGGGAGATGTGGAAAGGCTTCATCCTCACGGTGGTGGAGGTAGGCGTGGTCTCCCTCCGCCTCTCTCCCACTCCCCACCAGGCCTCCTCAGAAATCCTCTTTTTTCTTTCCATCCTTCATTCCCAAAACAAGCCTCTTAAGTATAGCACATGGGTCTCAAACTGGCCGCCTACAAGCCAAATGTAGCCCATAAACATCCTTCGTTTTGCCAACAAAGTGCTAAAAATTTTAAAGTTAGCTGCCATCATTTAAAAACCAGGAGTTTTAGTCAACATTCCTGATTTCTATTTTTATCCATTTGTTCCCTGCCTGGCCCTGGCGGTCTGTGAGTCTGAGACCCTACATTCTAGCATCTGCCCTGTCCTCCTCCCCATCACCGAAGTCTCTCTCTGCATCCTCTCCAAAGCCTCTTTGCCCCTGAGGTGTAGGGCAGCTCTGGAGCCCTGAGACCTGGGCTCGAATCCTGGCTCCGTCCCCAGTCTGGTCTCAGTTTGCCCCCCTGTGACTTGGACACAGCCGCCCGTTCCCTGACGGCCGGGCGCGGTCGCTGTGCCCCGATCGCCCCTCAGCTCCGTGTCCCGTCCAGTCTGACCCTGCTGCCCGGACACCTGTACATGATGGCCGAGGCCCTGGCCAAAGAGGAGGCGCGCCGCGCGGTCGAGATGCCCTCGTGAGTGCCCCGCCTGGCCCAGGGGCTCCAGGATGGGGGCGGGGTGGAGGGCGTGGGGCAGAGGGTGGGCAATGGGCGGGGTCTCCCGGCGCTGGGTCTTGAGCGGAGTACAGGGCTGCATCCGGGCTGGGGCGGGGGTTGCGTCCCCTACTGGGAGCCCTACTGGGTGTTTGGGACCGGGTCTGGGTTCCTGGGGGGCGGGGCAAGTTTTCCAGGGACGGGTTTAGGTGCCTGGGAGGCGGATCTGGGTCTCCGGGGCCCGGGATTTGTGCCTGGGGACAGGACTGAGTCTCCAGAGGCGAGGTCTGGGCCCGGGGGACGAGTCAGGGTCCCCAGGGGCAGTTATGTGGGGAGGATGTGGCTTGGTGTCCGGGGGCGTGGCTATGTACGGGAGGGCGTGGCTGGGTGTCCGGGGGCTTGGTGATGGGCAGGAGGGCGTGGCTGAGTGTCCGGGGGCGGGGCTACGTATTGGGCGTGGCTGGCTGTCCGGAGGCGGAGTCTGGTCCCGTGGGGCGAGGCAGAGTTTTGTGCCGGAGGATGTGGCTGGTCGTTCGGGGGCGTGGCTATGTGCGGGAGGGCGTGGCTGTTCAGAGGCGGGGCTGGGTTTCTGGGGGCAGGGCTATGTACGGGAGGGCGTGGCTGGCCTTGCGGGGGCGGGATTACGTACGGGGTCGTGGCTGGGTGCCCGGGGTGGAGGTGCCTGGGGGCGGGGCCTGTCCTGAGTGAGGGGCGCGGCCCGCCCCAGGTGCTTCCTGAAGGTGAACCGGCTGGAGGCGCAGCTGCTCCTGGAGCGCTACCCCGAGTGCGGGAACCTGCTGCTGCGGCCCAGCGGAGACGGCGGGGGCGGAGTGTCCGTCACCACGCGCCAGATGCTCAACGGGTGCGCATGCGCGGTTCCGGAAGCCCGGTGGGGGGGTGGTGAAGGAGGGTCGGGAGCGGGGCGTGGTCAGAGATAGGGGCGGGGTTAGGGGCGGGGCCAGACCTAAGGTGGAGTCAGGATCCGGGGGCGGAGCCCGGGCGAGGGGCGGGGTCTTCCTTGGCCTGAGCCCGGCCACCCACTCGCCCACTGCCGGTGCAGGATGCCGGTGGTCCGGCACTACAAAGTGAAGCACCAGGGTCCCAAGTACGTGATCGACGTGGAGGAGCCGGTGAGCGTTGGGCCGGGGTCCTGGGAAGCGCCCTGGCGAGTCCGCGCCCCTTCCCCACCAGCTCTGACCGCGACCCCCATCCGCCCCCAGTTCTCCTGCGCCTCGCTCGACGCGGTGGTCGACTATTTCGTGTCCAACACCAAGAAGGCGCTGGTGCCCTTCCTGCTGGACGAGGACTACGAGAAGGTGCTAGGTGGGTGCGGCCTCAGGGAACTCGGGGGGCCCAGCCCGTGCCTCTCCCGCCCCCGCCCCGACGGGGCCACGCCTGGGTCAGCCCCTGGCTGCCGCTGTGCCTCCTCCAGGCCGCCCTCTCTGTTCCAGGCTACGTGGAGGCAGATGAAGAGAACGGCGAGAGTGTGTGGGTGGCGCCCTCGGCCCCCCGCCCAGGTGATGCCCCCTCCCCACGGCCGCCTCTGGGTCAGAGGGGAGAGAGACCTAGGACCCATATGGCGCCTCCTGTGCCCAATCCTGCACCTAGAGTTGCAGGCATCCAGAAATTAGACCGTGCCCTCTAGGGGTGTCCAGGTTGTGGAGCGGGGTGGGGGACAGAGCTGGACACAGACCCTCCGGACCCTGTGAGGTCGAACCTGGGGAGCCTAGAGTTGGGGAGAAGAGGGGGGCGGAGTAGGCAGAGGGCTGCCTGGAGGAGGGGGTGTTTGCTGAAGGTCTCAGAGGATTTCAGTAGGTAGAGATGTGCGATGAGACGATCAGAGGGTGCCCCAGGAGCAAGAACTCCCCAGAAATGGGAAATCGGGGTGGCTGTTAGGAAAGGGGCGAGAGGCGGTCCAATTTATGGAGTGGGAGGAAAAGTCTGGAAAGGTCTGTGGGGTGAGCAGTATGGTCCTCCCCAGGCTGAGCAGATGCTGGGTGCCCCATGTGCACGATGGGCATGTATGTACATGTACATACAGACATGCCACACTCACGAACACGAACTGTGTCCACCTGCATAATAGAAGCTCATGTGTAGACATCTCTGTAGATAGATCTCCACGCACGCATGAACACACGTCACACACTTGTACAGCACACCCTTACCTACCTTAAGCCACAATCACGTGTACACACAAATGCACTTTTTCGCCCACGAGCACCAATTCCGATATTTATAGATACACATGTGCACACACCAATATAAAGTAAGTACCCAAGTGCACGTCTTAGAAGCCATGCAGTGTCGTGCATATACACACATTTAGGCATGTGTGACAAAATCTTTACATGTATTCAGCTTACGCAAATTCACCCAGTGGACGTGTTTATGCTGCACAGGGATGCAAATACACTCATACATGGGCACGTGCACAGACACACACGCCTCTGTGCGGGCCTGCACACGTGCATTCCCGTTTACAGACCCACCCCGAGGTGTCCCTGCAGCACGTGGGCCCCGACAGTGACGGCCGTGTCCCCCCAGGTCCTGCACCCCCTGAGCAGCCGCCTCCTGTGTCCGTCAAGCCGGTGTCCAGCCAGGACGAGCTGCCCCCGCTGCCGAACCAGGACGAGAACTACGTGATCCCCATTGGCGATGCCCCGGCGGCCAACTACGTGAACGAGGACGGTGGGTGGGGCACCAGGGGTGGCTGAGAGATGGGGGCGGCAGGCTAAGGGCCGGATGTGACATGCCACACCTTTGTCTACGCAGTGCTTCCTCCTAGTCGCCCAGTCATCCTGAAGCCCAAGAGGTTGGCAAAGGTCCAGGGGAAGCCCCCAAAGCCACCCGTTGGGCCCAAGCCAGGTAGGGGTCCCTCCTTCCCGGCCCCTCCCTCATCCAGTGGAGGGCCAGCCTCAACCTTCATCCCCCTTCTCCTTCAGAGCCCAAAGGCCTCGACGGTGGCCTGGCCAGGAAGCTAGCAGGCTCAGCGCAGGCTCTCTTCCCCACAACCGGTAAGGGGTCTAGGGGATCGATGTAGGGTGGGCTTCACAGGCGTGCGACCCATGCGGTCACACAGGACCCCACACTGCGGAGGGCCCCGCGCTCGGTTTAATGCCCTACTGTCTCTGTCTTGAAGTTCCCCCTACATTTTCATTTTGCGCTGGGCCCCAGATTCTGCAGCCGGTCCTCAGTGGATGTGGGGGGACAGCACAGACTGGGGATCCCTCTGGCACAGCTGAAGCCGCAGGTCCCCGCCCCCCAGGGTTGGGAGATGTGACAGCAGAGCTGGAAGAGAAGTTGCGGAGGCGGCGGGCGCTGGAACTCGCGGCTGGACGTGCGGGGGAGCAGCGGGCCCACCTCGGAGCACAGCACGTCAGTCCGCCGGATCCCTCCTCCCAGAATTAAAAGATTGAGTGACTCCACGGCCTCTGTGTTTGGCTTGGCTTGGGGGGGCAGTGAGGGGTCCATCGGATGTCTGCCCACAGCTGCCCCCGTTTACTCCCAGGATCCCCAGCTCAGCAGAACTGCTGTCTGGCTCTGCAAGAAAAGCCCGTTTCACAGCTGGGAGAGTTGAGGTCCAGAGGGGGCCGGGACACACAGAGCAGCACGGCCTGGCCAGTGTTAGACCTTTATTAGGAGGCGAGGTAGGAGGAGGGCCCGCCCCGCTGCTCCCCGTTCGTGACCCCCATCAGGACTTAAGGCTCCAAGCAGCAAGTGAGGGGAGGGTCCCCAGCTGGCTGCCCCCAAGATCAGCCCGGCTGGTGGGCGGCCCGGCGGCCTAGGTGAGGCTGGTGTTGGAGCTGCTGGTGGCACTGCCCCGCTTCTGCAGGCAGCGCACGGAGCTGGGGACCTGCAGGCCTGTCGTCACCTGGAAGCTGCCACACCACACCTGGGGGACGGTGAGGGCCAGGCAGGCTGAGACGCGAGGCCCGGCATCCCGCGCCACCCGCTCCCGTCCCGGGCGGGGGCGGGGTCTCACCGTGAAAGCAGGCAGCAGGGGCTGCGTGAACTTAGCCTTGAAGGTGTGCAGGAGCTGTTTGGTCCGAGCGTTGTAGAAGGACACGAGGCCTGGGGTGGATGGCAGGGCGACAGGGGGACCGGTAAGGGGGTTTGCGGCGGAGAGACGGGGCGGGTGGGGGGCTGGCGACGCCAGCGGGGGCTCGGGGTCACCTTGGTGGAAGTCGCAGTGCACGCCCAGGCAGTCGGGCACGGGGGCGTCCAACACCTTCACCTTGTTGGCGTGCTTGGCCGTGAAGCTGACCTGCAGCCAATTGTTGACGTGCAGACACCAGGACGCCGCCGTCTTGCCCAGCTGCTCGAAGCGGCCCAGGCTGCGGTAGGCCACCCCCACGCCGAACGCCTTGCTGTCCGGCTCGTAGCGCACCTCCCAGTAATGCTCCCCGCCGTCGATCAGCGTGTCCCCTGTGGGGCGGGGCAGGCAGCGGGCACGGGTCCCACGTGCCCACCCAGGGACTCCCCAGACCACGGCTATTCCCTCCAGATACTCCTCGGTCCCCAGCTATTCCCCAGGCTTCATCAACTCCTTCTAGAGACTAAGTCCAGATACTCTCCAAGCCTCAGCTAGTCCTTCCAGATTCTCTACGGGCCCAAGCTACTCCTTTCAGATACTTCAAGGCCTTCGAAACTTCCTCCAGTTCCTCCCCACCTTCAGATACTCCTCGGTCCTCAGTTCCTCCCAGAGACTAGATAATCCCGAAACCCTTGCTCCTGGCAGACTGCTGCTCGAGTCCTGCTGGAGTCCGGATACTCCTCAGAACTCTGCGACTCCTCCCAGTCGCTTTCTGAATGTCGATTCTCCCCGGCACCCCAGCTCCCGGTGGAGGCCAGTTCTTGCAGGCCTCAGCTCTTCCTGGGGTTCAGATGCCCGCCAGATCTCAGCTAATCCCTGAGTCCACATCCTCCCCAGGCCCCAGATCCAGATTCTTGCCAGCTCAGCTGCTCCCTGATCCAGCCATTCCTGAACTTCAGCTTCTCCGCACTCTCCTGCCCCACCCAGATCGCAGCTCATCTCCATCTAATATCTCAGCTCCTCCCCAAGACATAGGGAGGAGAGGAGATATCAACAGTGTTTGGTTCTTTTCATACACTGGGTCTCTCATGTCAGAACGTGCCTGTGCCCTTCCTCATCTGGAAAACTCCTCTTCAACCGTCAAAACCCAATTCAGAGTCTCCTCTCCTTTCCCTAACCCGTGTGTACATTTCTTCTCCAGGCCTGCTTCTCCCTGACCTCAGCTACTCCCCCCACCACAACTAGCCTAGGCTCTCCCAGGGTGAGATATTTCCCTGGCAAATCTCAGCCACTCTGCAGACCCCTCCGCACCTTCCCCTGCTCCTCCCCAAACCCCAGCTCTCGCCAGTCCCAGATGCTTTCCAGAAAATCCGGATCCTCCATAGAACCTTAACTGCTCCTCAGGCCTTAGTTGATCCCCAGTTTATCCCACGTACCCTAAGCTACTTCCCCGCACCCCTGCCTTGCTTCACCTTCTCCACACACCCAGCTGCTCCACAGGCGATGGTTCTTTCCAGCTACTCCCCAAGTCCCAGCTACTCCACAGACCCCAGGCAATCCCCCTGACCAGCCGCTCCCCAGTCCAGAGCATCCATATGCTCTGCCTCCCCCCAGTAATCCCTCCTCCCTCAATCTTCCCATTTCCCCAGCACCACATGTTATTGGGACCACTCCCAGAGAAGCTTTGTGGATGGCTGCCTCAGTTTCCCCAGGCGAAGGAGCTCTGTCCCACCCCCCACCACCAGGGCCCTGCTCAGAGTTCCCCTCTCTCCTCCCATCTTCCCCCCTCCTTACCCAGCACCGTGTAGGACTCAGCTGTGAAGCGATCCCGTCCCCCACGACCTGAGGGCATCCTCTTGGGAGATGAAGTACCTCTGTGGGTGGCAGGGAGGGGGGAGATTCCTTTCAGCCCTCACCTCCCCTGTAGGGGGGCTTCCTTGGTCCACCTCAGCCACCAAAGACTTGTCATCAGTCCCCAACAGTAGTTGGTTCTTTTCATACACTGGATCTGTCATGTCAGAAGATGCCTGTGCCCTTCCGCATCTGGAAAACTCCTATTCAACCATCAAAACCCAATTCAAAGTCTCCTCTCCTTTCATTCACTCGTTCATGGCTCCCCCCAGCTCCATGTCCCTTCCTCCACCCCAGCCTTGACCACACCAGGCTCTGTGTGACGGGGCAGCCTACCTGGCTGGCGAGTTGACGGGAGACGCTGTCCGCCCCTTCCCATCTTTCTCACGAGCCTTGATATCCTGCACCTTCCCGCCCATGGCGTCCCACTCCACGGAGAGATCCTCCACCCGCAGGTTCTGGTGGGATGTGGATGCATCCAGGCGGAACATGAAGGCTGGGGCCGGGCAGACATGGGAGTCACAGAGATGGGGAAACCCAGAGAGACACGGAGAGAGACCGAGAGAGACAGACAGTGACCAAGACAGACCAAGACAGAGACAGAGAACAGAAAGAGACAGAGACTAAGAGAGAGCAAGAGACCGACAGACGAAGGCTCAGAGACAGACAGACAGAGAGACGACAGGCAGAAAGACGCCGAGAGACAAGATGGGGAAGAGTGGAGGGGGCAGAACATGGAGCCTCAGGAGTGAAGGCCGAGGGCTCGTTGCCTAAAAGTCTCCCAGGTCTGGAGCCATTTTCAAACCACTTGTGCTGCCCTGTGCTTACGCTAGGGATTAACCCCAGGAAAGGGGCTGGGCTACAGCATGACAGAGTTAAGCTAGGTTGCAGAAGAACTTCCTATCAGGGCATGCAAAGGTGTCGCTGTGGGAGGCTGTGGAATCTGTTTTCACTACTGATATCCCATCCTCAACTCTACAGGGCACTTATTGATTTTTTGGAAGAGAGAGAGAAGTGTGTGAGTGTGTGTGTGTGTGTGTGTGTGTGTGTAAAACCCATCCAGCTATGATGGGGTCAACTGCAAAAGCAAAGGGCAAAAGCAGGTTTATACCAGATACTCAGGCTGAGGGATCTACTGTGGACTGAGCTCTGAGCTTCCTGGCAGCCAGGGCAAAAAGGGTCACAGAACCCTGATTAGAATTACACACCAATCCCTGGGGCCCTGGGAGTGAGGGGCTATGGAGTCACAGCCCAGGTAGGGGTGGGAGCCAGTCACCTGGTGTTTCCAGGGTCACCGGCTCGGAGAATTCGCCTGCAACTGCCTTATTACAGGCCTTCACACGGAAATTCATGTATTTCATGTCAAACTTGAGACCTAGAAGGCAACAGAGGGATCTCAACATTGTGTACACTCTGAGCACTAGGTTAGAGGCCCCCATGTCCCACAGTAATCCCACCACCCCTCATTCTAAGGACCACCTTGCAAATCACATCTTACCCCTAAGAAACCATCCTTGCCCTCATTCACCTGTGGGGCTATGGATAACTTAACTCCACCTCCAAACCAACTGGCCAATCAGGATCCTTTATGACTCAGTCACAGTGATTGGTTCAGGGATAGGCACGTGACCCAAACTGGCCAATCAGAATCTGCCCTGGGACTTTGGCTGGTATTATAACGAGCAGAATCTCTTCCTCTGGGCTGACCAGCCAGGAGGAAGCTCCTTCTGGGAAAATTTGCCAGTGCGTTTGGCAAACCTACTTGAGAATGCAGCCCCCAGAGCCAACAAGGACAGGAACCGAGGTGACAGAGTCATTTGCTGGAACCCCTGGATCTAGCCATGCCTGGTTCCCTCCTACTAGAATATATATCCTACCCTCCCTTTCTGCCCTTTTTTTCTTATTAATTTTTTATCATCTTAAAAAGTAAAAAGCAGCTATCTAGCTGTCTTCCCCCTCAAGCTACACCTCTTTGGAGAGCTGTCCACATCCCCTCTCTGTTGCCCCATTCCCTCTCTGTCCTCTGGCCTTGAAGTCCCCACCTTGCACCTCCTGGCTGCCCACTCCTTCCCTTCTGGAACATTCTCTTTCCTCGGGGCGCCCATGGTACTGCCCTCTCCTTGCCTCCCCCTCTGGTTGCTCCCCCTTGGTCTTCCTTGAAGGCTCCTCCCTCCGACACCCTTCAATGTTGGGGTGGCTCAGTCCAGGACCCCCACTCATCTCACTCTGCTCACTGACCCCTATCACCCTTCAGGCACCATCCGTGCATCCACGGCACCCACAACCCCACCTCTACGCAGACCACATGTCTGGCTGCCTCCTGAGTGTTCCCTGCAGGATGCCCATCCTCTGGGCATCCCCAACAGCACTCGGTAACCCCCGCTCTAAAACCTCCCATGGCTCCCCTTGCCCTCAGGGTAAAGTTCCCACTCATCCTCTCATCTCTGCCTACAGATGCTCTTCTCTCTGCAAACGTAATTAATTCCAGACACAAGCCTTGGCGCTCTGGCCTCTGAGCTCTTGATCAAGCTGTTCCTCTGCCTGGAAGGCTGTTCCCTGCACCCCTTCTCTTTCGGGCCTCAACCTGGCTGCCACCTCTTCCAGGTGCCCATCCAAACTGCCTCACCCTTCTTTGGATCCACTTCTCTGCGAGTCCAGCGGTTTGCTCCACAGCGCCACCTACTGCCCCAGAGCTAAGACTACCACCCAGAATGCTAGGAACCCATCTGAACATCGACGGTCTGGACTCACTCACTGCGTGCCTCAGTTTCCTATTCTGCAAACCGGCCGTCATATTCCCCACACTGAGCAGGGTTCACACCAGGATGAGATGAGTGGAGGAACGGAAGTCATAAACACTTAACCAAAACCCTCCCGTCTTTCCAAGCAATCGAGATAGGAGGTGGATTGCAAATAACCACACAGGTTATTTACATAGGTAAGTGTATGCATTCAAGCCTGTGATAGAGCAGAGCTACACCTTGAGTGTGGGGGTGGTTACATGATTTACACACGGGATAAAATTGTGAATGGGATTACACACACACAGTGTAGAACTGGCCCAAGTCAATGTCCTGGATTTGATAATGAACCATAGTTATGTAAGCTGCCACTATTGGAGAAAGCTGGGCTTATCCATACAATGGAATATGACTCAGCCGTGAAAAGGAAGGAGATTCTGACACCTGCTCCAACATGGATGGACCCCAAGGACTTGATGCTCAGTGACATGACACAGAAGGACAAATACTGTGTGATCCACTCACAGGAGGTCCCTAGAGGAGTCACATCCACAGAGACAGAAGGTAGATGGTGGGACCAGGGGCTGGGGGAGGGGATGTGAAGTCAGTGTGTCATGGGGACAGAGTCTCAGTTTGGGGAGATGAGAACATTCTGGAGATGGATGGTGGTGATGGCTGCACAGCATTATGAATGTATTTAACACCACTGAGCTGTCCACCTAAAAATGGTTACGATGGTCAATTTTATGTTACGTGTATTTCACCATAATAAAGAAAGATTGGGAAAAAATGGGGTGTGTCTATTTTGATTCCCACGCAAAGGATGAACCAATAGCTTCTCAGGCCCTCTTGCTGGCTGGTGGCTTTTCTTTCCCGCAATTAGCATGCTCATTATTAACCATGTATGCTAATTACAGATAAGGAAGCAACTGATTACAGCCCAAGAGCTATGTGATAGTTATCTTGTCAGCAAGGCTCTCCCGCCCCCTGAGGGTTTCCCCTGGCTCAGGCCGGCTTTTTAAATTCATTAGGGATCCCCCGATTTTTCCCTCCTTCAGACCCTCCCCTACCAGCTGAGTGGATTCCCCCGGGGGCTTTCTGCTTTCTTATGACTGTCAAGGAAATCCCAAATACTTGGAGGGTGGCCCGGGAAAGCCAGCTCCACGAAGGAGAGGACTTCTCTGCTTTGCTCACTCAAAGACAGGACCTCCTATGCTGTCATCAATATCGTTTTCAGTATGATTACTTTTCGCTACGCCTCATCAGCCTGCCAGGCTGCTCTCACACCCCTGAGCTTTGGGGTCATCCACACGCCCCCAGGTGGCCGGTGGGGACACGGGAGCCTGGAGGGGTGAGCTGCACTGACCGGTGAGGGTGTACTCCGTCTGCCGGATGCCCTCGATGACCATCCAGGGCTGCTCCTCCTTGAGGCGGGGCGGGCCCTCGAAGTTGGTCCGCCGGTACTCCAGCACGTAGTGGTCAATCTTGCTGTCCTCATCCGGCATGCGCCACACCAGGGTCACGCAGTTGTCTGCCACCAGGGACTCGGCCAGGTCGATCACGGGGGTGCTGGGCACTGCCCAGGAAAGTGGGGAGAGTGGGATCAGGGTCCTGCGTCTGCAGAGGTGAGGGCCTCGCTGCGGTCCCTCCCACATGATACACCGCCTTGTGGGCGGGGCCCCTCCGGGTTCTGGGACCTGGAGGTGGAGCCTCCCAGGGTTCCACCAAGGGGTGGGTGAGGGGGAGGAGCTTTCTCGGGGTTCAACCAACAAGGGCTGGGCCTTCTCAGGATTCCACCATTTAGAGGTAGAACATTTCTAGAATTCTCTACTGATTGAGAGCATGGCCTTCATGGGACTCCATCCCTGGTGGGTGGGGCCTTTGGGTCTCTGTAACAAGGGGTGTGGCTTCCTTGTGGCTCCACCCACAATGGGTGTGGCTTGTCAAAGACTCCATCCACACGCGGGCGGGGCATTCTTGTGGCCCCACCCCCCAAGGGCGGGGCATTATCAGCTCTCCACCCATGGGGGGCGGGGCTTCATAGTGGCTCTACCCTAGGGGCGGGGCATCCTCAGCCGTCCACCCCCAGGTGTGGGGCATTCTCAGGTCTCCACCCCAAGGGGGTGTGGCTTTATAGTAGCTCCACCCCCTCAGGGGCGGGGCACTACCGAGTCTCCACCCCCAGGGGTGGGGCCTCCTGGGGTTTCTACACCTGGCTGTCAGCCTTACTCCAGGTCTTGTCTCAGGACTGCCCAGACTCCCCCCACCCTTTTCCTGACACCCTGGCCCTCCAGCGAGTCCCTCTCACCAGGCAGGAACTTGAGTGCCTGCAGCATCCGCCGCTCCTGCGCAAAGTCCACCATGAGGTGACTCATGTTGTCACTCACCTTGGCTTTCAGTGACAGCCGGAAGGCGGGGGCCATTGTCACACTGCAGGGAAGGAGGTGGTGGCAGCCCGCTGGCAGGCCTCTCAGGGGGGCCCAGGCTGGGTCCTCCAAGGTGTGTGGTGGGGACCCCTCCCCCTTATTCTGGGCCAAGGGACCCTCACCTGGGTGTCCCCACCTCCACACCAGGGGCGGGGCACTGGGGTGGAGGCCAGGTCCCTGCATCTTACCCATCTTTGATTTGCTTGGCAGCCTAGAAAGAGGGACAGAAAAAAATTCAGAGCTGTCTCAACTGAGCCAGAAAGCCACTACACAGACAGGGAGACTGAGGTGAGGCCCAGCGTGGCAGCTGTTTCCTGGAGTCTCCCAGCACTGGGGCGGAAACTCCGATGTTTTTTAACTGTGCCCTGAAGATAGGCGGGCACAGGCCCCCACCCCACCCACCTCCTGCCCAGTGCCCAGCACACACGGTTGGCCGATTTAGCAAATAAAAATACAGGCGTGCGTTGCTTAAAGACGGGGACCCGTTCTGAGAAATGCATCGTTAGGCGATTTTGTCATTGTGCAAACATCCTAGAGCATATTTACATGCTAGATAGTACAGCCTACAACACACCTAGACAGTACGGTACTCATCTTATGGGACCACCGTCGTCTATGCAGTCCATCATTGACTGACACGTCGTTATGCCGTGCAGGACTGCACAGGAAGCCCAGTTAAATTTGCATTTCAGGTAAACAACGAAAGATTTTTTTAGTATAAATGTGTCCCATCCAATCTTTGGGACACACTCACACTAAACATTTGCATGGGGTATATTTATACTAAAAAATTATTTGTCGTTAAATTTGAATTTCAGATCAACAATGAATAATTTTTTTTAGCAAAAGTATAGCCCATACAATTTTGGGGATATACTTATACTGACTAGTGCATGGGGTATACTTATATTCAAACGTTACTCGTGGCTGATATGAAATGTAAGTTTAACCTGGCATCCTGTGTTTTAGCCGGCGGCCGAGGCACCCACCTGGTGGAAGTCCCTGCTGTCGGCGGCCTGCAGGGTCTGGTTGGCTGTCTCCAGAAGCTCCTCGGAGCTCTCCAGGGCCCGCGTGCAGGCAGCCAGCTGGTTCTGCGGGTGGCAGGGCACTGAGGGAGGGGACACCTCACCCCACTGCCTCAAACCTTCCCGGGGCTCCCTCCCACCTTTGGGATGCAGGGGACCATGCCCTTCTAGAACTCCAGGTTGGGGAGGGAGCCTGGAGCGAGGCGGCACCTGGCTCATGGCAGTGCCTCAGAATCACCTGGGGACCCCTTCCTTAAAAACCCACATGCCCGGGCCACACCTGAGCCCCCAGGCTGCAGATTCCCCTGGGATGGGAATCTGGGATGTTTGGAAGTTGCCCAGGAGGTTTCAATACAGCCCGTGTGACCCCAGCTTGGAGTCTGAGACCCCATGGGAGCCATGGGAGGTGTCTGAGCAGGAGTGATGCCGTCAGATCTGGGGGACAGGTGGGAAGGGCTGAGAAATTGGAGATGCTAGGTGAGGACGGGAGGGGAGGAACAGCCAGATGTGGGGCGGGGCCGTGACAGTGGAGAGGAGGAGGTGGATGCAAGAGGGGATTAAGAGAGAGGACAGGTGGGTGGGGAATTGACATGCCATGGCCAGGGAGGGGGGCAGGGGACAGGCCAGGGAAGAGGAGGCCAAAACGGCGGGGTGTCTGGCTCTGGACGCTGGAGACATTCGGGGGCATCTCCAAAAAAGGGACGTAGGAGGAGGCACAGGTCTGGAGGAAGATGCTGAGGCCAGCGGGGCTCTGTTAGTGTGAGGGGTGCCGTGGGGGACGGCGTCTGGGCGGGGGTCTGGGCGAGTCCCCCCACATGCACACCTGCAGCTCGTAGGTGCGGCTGGCGCGGTCCTGCTTTATCTTCATGAGCATGCCCTCCTTCAGCTCGTCCAGGACGGAGAAGAGAGACTGGAACTCCACCTCCAGGTCCTCCTGCACCTTGGCCGAATTGGTCTTGGAGAGACGTTGTGGGGTCGGAACGGCCAGGATTGGCCAAGGCTGGTGCTCAGATGGGGAAACTGAGGCCCGGACATGGCAGGCAGGCCCAGAGTCCCGCAGGCATCAGCAGCAACAGGCCAGCTCCTATGGCTACCGCTCGCTCCCTCCCTTCCATCCACCTGCGCAAGACTTCCCCACCTCCCTCCCTTCCTCCTGGGGGGGTGCCTTCCTCACCTCCACGTTCAGCAACATTTGCTTGAGGGAGTAGATGAAACTCTGAATCTCCTCATTCTTCACAGCCAGCGTGGTGATGATCTTCCGCAGAGCCTCCTGTCCCCATGGGAACCACACACACGCACCCACGGCCGGTAAGCCCCTTAGCCTGGCACGGCTCCCCCACCTGGGGCTCCCCATCCTGCCCTCCAGGGATCCAGGGAGAAGATGTGGGGGACACCGTGCCAATGAGCTTGGGCATCCGCCACGAGGCAGGCCCTGGGCGAAGCTCTGGCCCCACGTCCCCTCACCTAGCAGGTGGGCACCACGAGCATCCCCATTACACAGGGGAGGAAACTGAGGCTTTTAGAAAGGGACAGACCCTGGGCCTGAGCACAAAGCCTTCAACCAGGTACCTAGATGCTGAGGGTGGGGCACGATCCGGGTGAGGGGCTAGCTTGGGGAAATGATGCCTGCAGAGAATGGGCTAACCTGGGGAAGGGGATAGCCTGGGAAGAGGGATTAGCAAGGAGAAAGGATGAACCTCAGGAAAAGGGGAGCCAAAGAGCCCAGGTAAGTGGGAGGGGGAAGGGAGGTCTGGGGAAGGGGACGCTGGGAGGGAAGGAGGCGGCGTGGGAGGATCCTGCTGGGGCCTGTAGCTCTGACCCAGGCCTTGGACAGGTCCCTTTTCTTGGGGCGCAGGATCCGTGGGGTCACCTGTGCTGAGCTGGCGGGGCGTCCTCCGGGGCGGGGCAGGGGCCGGGACACCTGGGCCGTAGTCCGGGTGGGAGGCGTGGGGGATGGGGTCAGGGCTGGGTCCGGGATACCGGGAGGGGGTGGGGGGCATGGAGGGGACGCGCCTGGAGCCAGGCCAAGGGGATGAGGGGTCTGGGCGAGGGTGGGGGGCTGCGTCCCGAATGGGGGGCTGCGTCCGGGCGGGGTCGCGGCGGGGGGGGGGCCTCGGCTGCGGAGCAGCTGGGTCGGGTGGGGGGTTGGGGAGGGCGCTGCGGCATCACCTGGGCCCCTCCCTGTCCGCCCCCGCCGCGCGCCCGGCCCCCATCCTACCCTCTGGTCCTCCATGGCTGCAGCCCAGCTCGTCCCCGGCCCGGCCCGCGGGCCCCGCTCGCCCTGCTAGTCCCCAAGCTGCCTTTGCCGCGGCCGGGAGCCAATGGCCCGCCGAGCCCTCGCCGCCGCCGCCGCCGCGCCCCCCGTCAGCGCTCCATCACTGGCCGCAGCGCGCAGGCGCGCCCCCCACGGCACGCTGGGAAATGTAGTCCCGCGCTGGGGTCTCCGAGAGCTGGGACCCCCTGAGCCTGGGGCCCACCCGGCGACATTAGTAATGATGCCTGAGCCGGAGAGAGCTTGGAGCTGCAAGGGAGGGTGCCTCAGTTCGACCTCCGGCCCTGCCATGTGACCTCAAGCCCATCCCTAGTCCTCCTGGTGCCTCTGTCTCCCCGATTATTCACCCACGCTGGTGCTCAAAGTAGAATTCTATCTCCCGCGCCCCCGACTTCTGGACCCTGACTGCTCACACGCCTTGCATTTACCGAAAATCCAAGGCCTTTGCCCAAGCAGATGTACAGCCTCCAACGCCTTCCTTCCTTCCCCACGTCACCACTGAACTCCTACACATCCCACAAAGCCCCAGGCCCTAACATCTCCTCCCGAAGTCTCCCTGCCAGCCCAGAATTCGCAGGGCTAGAAATGTGTGTGTCTGGCTATGTCTTCCCTCTCAGCTTGGGGCTGAATCTATCCGGATCCCCAGCATTGCCCCTTGGCAGAGGGTGGGGAAGGACTGAGCAGGGAGAGGCTGGGAAGCTGTGCGTGTCTGCTGGGGAGGTGTGGGCAGAGAGCCACCGCGGGAGCGTCCCTGTGGTCGATCAGAACAATTCTGCGAAGGACACAGGCCTTCCTCTCTCTGGGTGAGAAAGGAGGTCACGCTGTGGTTGGGGGTGAGACATGGAGTCCTAGAGGTCTGCCCCCTCCTCCGAGGGCGTACTGCCGGCCCCCGAGGTGACGGGTGAAGGGCTGGGAGAAAGTCCAGAGCCTATGAGCCCCCTCAGCTGGGCTGCCAAACTTCTCCCAAGGCCCTGGGGGCGGGGGAGCCCCCATACCTGTCCTGGGACCCGAAGCCAGCAGGAGACGTCTATTCCTCTGAACCTCAAAGGAAGATATTTTGAGGCAACATAATTGAAGGCGGGATTCCGCTGTTCAATCCACTGCTCAGGCCCCTGTGCCGCCCCCCCGCCCACGCCTGTGTCACCTGGCCTTCCAAAGTGTCCCCCCAGCCCAGCTGTGTTTATGTAGAGTCTTCCAGAAAGATTTTCCACTCACTGGGACCCATTATCCCCTTTCACATACTGATACTGCCTTTCAGATAAACAATAACAACTTTGGGGAAACTGAGGCACGAGGCAGCAGGAAGTGGAGCCCCGAGCAGCATCGGCCACCGGACGTCTGCCGTCTGGCCGGGGTGTCACATCTGCCTCTGTGGCAGGGGGCGGAGATTGTGGCAGGAAATCTGTTGAATGGCAGGGGGGGGGGGAGGGCGGGGCGCCAGCCAGGAGAGTGGGGGGCCTGATGGGCCAGGAATGGGGTCCCTGGGCACAGCGCTGGTCCTTCTGGGGCAGCTCTGGGGTGAGTACTTGGGTCTCCCTCCCCTCTGTCCCCACCCGCTCTTCCCCATCACCCCAGCTGCCTGCCCCTCCCGCTCAGATCCGCTCTACAACTTAAGTCTTTCCGCTCTGCCAACAAGGGCCCGTCTGTCTCTGATTCTCAGAACCTTAGGAGGGTTGAAGGATTCCAGCAGAATCCTCAGAGGGGGCCCCTAGGATAAAATTCAGACCGTGACCTACATACAGCCTTCGTGACCTGGCCACTCTGGCCTCTCTCGTCTCCACCCTCCTCCACGGTCCCTGTCTCCCCCATGTCTGGCCTGCTGACTCTTTTCTTTTTTTCCCACACACCAAGCTTGATCCCACCTCTGGGCCTTCGTACCTGCTGTTCCCTCTGCCTGGAACACTGTTCCCTGGCAGATGATCTCGTCTCTAGCGCCAGCTGCAGTTGCCTCCCGATGCCGGAAACTCGACACAAACTCACCCCTTCTGGGAGCATCTAACAGGCACCCAGACATCTCACGGCCAACAGCAAACTCTCTGCTCCAGCCCTGCTCCTCCCTCGGCGTCCCCCATTTGGCCAAAAGCCACCGCCGTTCGCACAGTCCCTCAGGCTAAAGCCTTGGGAATCGGTCACCATCCCTCTTTCCCTGTCTCCCAATTCAGATTTTCTTGCAGATCTTCTAGGGGCAACTTTCAAAATCTGGCCAGACTCTGACCCCTTCTCTCCAGGGTCGTGCGCCCATTACTGCTTTCCTCGGCCCTCCTCTTCCGGCAGCCCCCCACCTCCTAGTCTGTTCTCACCACAGCAGTCAGGATGGTTTTTAAAAATCTTAAATGGGACTGTGTTTCTTCCCTGCTCTGCTGGTTTCCCATCACACTTAGATTAAAAAGCAAACTGCCCCTGTTTTCCCCCCCTCCGCTTCCCCATCCCCACCACACCCCACCCCTGTGGCCTGCAAGGCCTCGCATAAGCCATCCCCTGCGGACCTCTCTGGTCCCACCTCCTCCCTCTCTCCCCCTCGCTCCCTCTGCTCCAGCCACACGGGCTCCTCGCTGTTCCTCCCACACCCCAGGCCCGGTGCTGCCCCAGGGCCTTTGCACGGGCTGTTCCCTCTGCCTGGAGTGCTCTTCCTCTATATCTTCCTTCCTTCCCACAACTGGCTACTTCTTAACAGAGTCCCAGTCAAATGTCACCTCCTCCAAGAGGCCTTCGCTGACTGCCCTCCATAAGTAGAGGAGGGCAGTCTCTCACCTCATCCTTACCCTCTATCGCCACTCCCCCATTCCTTTCCTCCATCATGATTCTCATTTCACGACTTCTTGTGTCTCTCTCCTCCCAGAGTGTCAGCCCCACAAAGGCAGGGATTGTTGTCTGTCTCGGTCCCCTCTGTGTCTGTGTCCACGGTGTCCAGGGCAGGGCCTGGCACGCACACAGCTGGGAGTCCATCTTGAAATCTCACGGGTGCCGGGAGAGTTATACCCATTTCACAGATGGGGCCATTGAGTCTCATCGAAGAGAAGTGACCTTGCACAGATCACACAGGCAGCAAGGTTGCAAACTCTTACTGCCTAGCCCCTGCGGGCTCGTTAGGGGAGTAAGTCACAAACACACACACACACACACACACACACACACACACACACACACACGAGAAAGGCCTCACTCGCGTCTTCTGTCCCCCAGCCCTGCAAGGAGCTCCAGGCCTGAGTGTGCTTCAGGAGCCCAGGTGGCTGCGGGTGAGGCAGGACACCCAGGTGACTTTGACCTGCGAGGTGGTGCAGACCCAGGCCTGGGAGCAGCTCCGTGTGGAGTGGATCAAGGATGGCGACAGCGTGTGCCAATCATATGTCACCAAGGGCAGCCTCAGGCCAGGGGGCTGCGGGCCCCGGAGGCGGCTCTCCTGGCGGCCACCTGGCACTGTCACCCTGCAGCTGGACCGCGTGAGCCTCAACGACAGCGGGGACTACGTGTGCTGGGTGGCCACGGAGATCCCGGAGCTGGAGGAGGCCGAGGGCAACGGAACGTGGCTGCTGGTGGAGACAGGTACGGGGGCGAGTGGGAGGAAGAAGCCAGGGACTCAGAACCTCTAGATTCTTAAGACTCTAACATCTCCAACTCCTAGAAACAGAAACTCTAAATTCTTCAAATCAGATTCTTGCAGATTCTGCAAACGCAGGAACATCAAATTCTAGAAGCACAGAAACAAAGATGCGCTAGAACTTATCATTCGAGACCAGGGCTCAGCCAACTTTCTCTGTACAGGGCCACGTAGTAAATATTTCCTGCTTTGTGCACCAGACAGTCTCTGCTGCAAATACTCCACTCTGCTCTTGGAGCGTGAAAGCCGCCATCGACTGTGCATATGGGAATGGGCGGGCCTGGGTTCCGATAAAACTTTATTTAAAAAAACACAAACCGGGGCCGAATTTGATCCACAGGCTGTAGTTTGCTGAGCCCTGTTCCAGAATATCATAAAGACTCTTGATACATATAATTCTGGAGTTTGATTCAAAACAATGCCAGAATCTTTTTTTAAAATATGCTATTAAAGTATATTCTACGTACAGAGAAATGCACATGTCAGAAATGGCCAGTTCAGTGGTGTTCAAACCATAGCAATGGATTTTCACAAGCTGAGCACACCCATGTACCACCACCCGGCTCAAGAAACATAGCCGCCTCCCAGACGCCATCCTCGTGCCCCCTCACCCCTCACCCCCCCACACACTATCCTGGCTTATAACAGCATAGATCTATTTTGCCTGGTTTCATACTTTATTTAAATGGAATCACAGAGTATATTCTTTTTTGCGTCTGACTTCTTTCACTCAACATGATGTCTGGAAGATTCCTCCATGTCGGTGCACGTAGCAGAGTTTCATTCTTTTTCCTTGCTGTAGACTATTCCATCGTGTACTCCACCACCGTTGATCAATCCAATTTCTTGTTGGTGGGCATTTGGGTATTCTCTGGGTTTTGGCTATTATGAATAAGGCTGCTGTGAACAATCTAGAACTTGTCTTTTGGTCACCATATGTACACATTTCTGTTGCACCTAAGACAATTCTAGAATCTTGAATATAAAATCTTGCAGTTCTAGAACCCTAGGGACATAAAATCCTAGGTTCTTAGAAGGACAGCACACGTTCTCAATGGGGAATATTGCTCCTAAGGAGGCAAAAATTGGCTATTGGGAAGCAAAGAAAACCTTACTCTTTTTATGTATAAAGCATAGATATAAAGGTAGTACATAAACAGATTTACAGTATATCTGTGGTATTAAAATTTCATGAGGGAACAAATTAAGGTTTTTTAAATGTCTCCCTAGAGGGATGATAATGAAAAAGGTTGAGAAACACTGAAATAAAGGAAGGCATGATTCTAGAATTGTAGAATTGCAGTATCTTAAGTACTTCAAATAGATGGACTCTTAGGATTTTGCAATCTCAGAGTAAGAGCAGAGAATTCTAGAAGCCAGAATCGAAAGCCATTGACTCGCAGAGCCAGAAGGAACTTTCCAGATCAGCTGAGCAGCTGCCTCATTTTACAGATGAGAACGCTGAGGTCCAGAGGGGGCCGAGATGTGTCCAGGCACCCACACAAGCCAGGGGTGCAGCTGGCTTTTTTGAGATCCCAGCTCACACATGACACTCCCTTATGGACCAAACCCTGTGCAGGCGGGGAGACCCAAGCTGACCCAGATGGGGCTCCTGCTCTTGGTCATTCCTGATGCCTCGGGCACGTGCCCGGGCCCTCTCAGGCTCCCAGCCCCTAGAGACGCCCAATCCTCTCCAGCTGGCAGGGCCCGCCCACCGCATGCCTCCAGGGCGGTGTGTTACGGCTGTCCTGCCCGCCACCCGCCCCTCTAGTGACGAGAGGGCCAATTACCAATTAGCAGAAGTGGGATGCGGAGGCGCCAGGCTGTGGTTGTTGGCAGCTGCGAGGGAGAGGGCGGGCGTGGGTCCAGCTCCACACAGCTGGCTTCCCATCCCCATGGCTCCTTGGCAGCCCCCGCCAACTTTAGAACCTGCAGGATGAAGGGGTCCCGGGCGCCGGGCCTCATCTTAGTCACAGCAGAAGGAGCGTTTGGCTGGAGTTCGTGTCAATTATATGGACCTGGAAGCACGTCCCCACTCTGCCATTCACTTGCTGTGTGACCCTGGGCATGTAACTTGATCCCCTGTGCCCGTTTCCTTAGCTATCAAAACAGAGCTAATAGTGCTTTCCTCAATGGGTTAGGTGGATTTAGAGCGATTATATCTAAAGAGTTCATTGCAGGGTCTGGATCCTAGTAACTTCTCAATAAACGTAAGTGGTTATTATATCTGTGACGCTGATTATTCAGCAAGACTCAAATGTTCAGGCCAGTGTAAGGAGAGGGGAGATGAGATGAGCAATGCCTTTGTTCAAAGCAGTGCCCAGCTGCCGCCTGGGTGTGTGACCCCCAGCAAGTGACTCAGGCTCTCTGAGCCTCAGTTTCCTCATATGTAAAATGGGTTTGGCACAGAGTAGAGGCTCAAAAAGCAGGAGCCATGAGGATGATGGATCCCATGACCGGGATGATGGGACTTGTGGTGGAATGATGAGGCTCATGATGCAGGGGATAGAGCTCAAAATGACAATGATGGAGCTTGTGACCAGGGTGATGGAGCTCAGGATGGGGATGATGGAGCTCGTGACCAGGGAGATGGAGCTCAGGATGGGGGGTGATGGAGCTCATGACCAGGGTGATGGAGCTCAGGATGGGGATGATGGAGCTCATGACCAGGGTGATGGAGCTCAGGATGGGGATGATGGAGCTCGTGCCCAGGGTGATG